CATCTTCACGGGTCCCTGGCTTGTGCTCCACAGCAGGCTGGGGAGTGGCTCCTCCCTGCTGGCCTCAAGGACATGATGCTTCCGCTCCCGCTTGCCTGCCTTTTTACCTTCCCAGAAGGCTGCGTCAATGGAGCTGCCGCTGGCTGAAGTACTAGGCCATTGTAAAGAGCACCCGGAGTTTCCACGTGTTTAAGGGGAAAAGGGGGCCCCGTGCGTTGTGTACTTGTTAGGGAGGTGCCAGCGGTGCGTCAGTGGTGATGGCAAGTGGACGACACAACCCGCCATGGGCAGCAACCCTTTGTTCTCACGAGGTTGTTAGCCAGACGGGCACTTGATTGGTAGCTACCGCTGATAATGGTGTTAGGAGGCAGGGGAGGACGGAGGCCCCCTGACGGCAGCGGTCTCATTGCTGGTGGTGACCCTCACCCCAAATCTTGCCTTTCGGCAGCTGCTTTTTTGAAGAGTCCAAAAAGAGAGCAAGGACAACCCTGGGAGTTCTCAGAGGGGGACACATGGTATGAGGGGGACTGCTCTCCTTGGGGCCATTTGAGGTGCAGGGGCGTCTCAAAGGAGAGACAGGTCATCTCAGTGCTGGTGGGCAGTAGAGGATGAGCCGAACGCACGCTGCGTCTTGGGTGCATTCCGGCTCAGGGACACCCCCACCCCCACCAGGTGGGCAGCACTGAGCACCTCTGAGTGAGGAGGACTTACTTTCTTTGTGCGTGTGGGGTGGGGTGGGGAGGGGAGGCAACTAGAATGAAGCCCCACTGCTCTGTCCCCTGACTGCTCCCGGATTTGATGATTGTAGAACCAGTGCTGCGGAGCGTACAGCCCTGAAGACTGGGACCTTAATGCCTACTTCAACTGCAGCGGCTCTAGCTACAGCCGGGAGAAGTGCGGGGTGCCCTTTTCCTGCTGTGTGCCAGATCCCGCGGTGAGTCTTGCGCGGCTGAGACCCGTGGGCCCCCTGGAGGCTGAGCTGTGTCCCCTGCCCGGGCCCTGGACTGCTGCTCTATCCCAGGACCCTTGGTCAGCGGGGGTTTGTGTGTCGCCACACTGCTGAACAGGTTTCAGCAAAGCTTTCAGACAAGGGTGGACCAGGAGAAGGGACCTGGTGGTTAACCTCTGAAAACCATCTGGTGAAGCCCCTGTGGATCGCAATGGTCTCATCCACAAGGATTGTGGAGACGGCACAGGGCCTGGCAGCGCTTCATTCTGCCGTGTTGCAGGGCCACCAGGAGTCAGAGGCACCCGTGGGCCCGAGCCAGCGGCAGTCTCTTTGAATGGGTCACCATCCACCGAGAATGGATTTTATGCTTGTAAATGGTTGGAATTAGATCAGGAGCTTAATCAGTATCTTGTGAGACATGAAGGTATACGAAATTCCAGTTTCCGTGTCAAAAACAAAGTTGTCTTAGGATTCAGCCAAGCCCATCGGTGACATCTGGGATGTGACTGCTGTGGAAAACGTGGTCTGTACAGCCTAGCTAGCACTTCACAGAGGAAAGGCTGTTGGCAGCCTCCTGGGAGGGTGCCAGGCTGTCATGACTTTGCATAGGTGTTTTGCTTGGGTTGGGGTGGGAGGTGCTGGAGGCTGCTTTAAAAAACTTGAAAATCATTTCAATCTTTGCCCCGGTTTTTCTTACAGCAAAAAGTTATCAACACCCAGTGTGGCTATGATGTCAGGACCCAGGTGAGTGAACCCCTTGTGTGTACCTCTTAACAGTTTCATTCCTGCGGCCCCACTTCCTGATTCAGCACAGTTGCAAATTGGAGCGGAAAATCAGGGGAGGGCCTGGACAAACAGGAGGAGCCCAGTGCCTCACTCACACGCTCAGCCTGGCTGGCGACAAGACCCTCGGGAAGGGTGACTTGTGGTTGCAAGCCTGAGAACTCGTCTCGGAAACTCGCAGGTGCTGTGCTAGCAGAAAGGGGTTGGGTGAACGTATCACGGAGCACCATTATACTTCAGAGGCTCCTAGATCCTCCGAAGGTCCCCATCATGAGAAGTCTTCAGAAGGAAATCTGGATGCCTCTTGTGGAGGCAGTGGTGACCGCAAAGGGATGGGTGTAGGGCAGACCCAGCCTTCCAGGGGAAAGATGGGCTCTAGCTATGGGAATGTGCACTTGGCTGTAAAGAGAAACAAGACCATTCCCCAAAGACCCAGGCACGCGTCAATCCCACCCCAGTTCTCGGTAACCTTTGAATGGCTTATGAGCGGCTGCTCTTCTGAGGCCCCTCCCACTGGGCAAAGGTACAGGCCCTGGCTTAGGAAACTCCAGCCCTGCAGCGGCTTCACTTGGCTGGGTGGCCTGTGTCCATGTTTGGTGACCCTTGTGTGAATTTGCAAGACAGTCTTGAAAGTGAATTGATGTTCCTTCAGTGTAGCCACAGAGGAAGCTGGTAGCTGAGGGACTTGGTGGGTGATGGGTGGGGTGTGCCCGCTTACTGAGCAAATACTGGACTTCCGAGGGAACCCGCCTGCTGATGACTTCATCTATGGCCTTAGGTTCCCCAGGGCTCAGCTTACCTGTGCTCCTGGTACCGGGGAGCTCCTCCCATCTTTGTCCTGCCAACCCCTCCCACTCTGGAGACATACTGACTCCCTGCCCCCAGTTCCCCTCTTTAAAAGCCGCTCCTTTTCTGAGCCCCTCCCCTCCTCCGTAAGTTGACCAGGCCCACACAGAGACGGGGAGGGCCAGGGGAATAGCCAGGAAGCCTCTGGTTAGACGGTAATGACGTGGCATCCAATCCAGGGGGGTTGGGGGGAGGGTGGGCCTTCTGGAGAACCAAGGGCAGTAGATATGTTTCTTCTGCAAGTTCAGCCGATATCTTAGGCACCCACCTCCCAGTGCCCAGCCCTGGGCACAGACCAGGTGTGGAGACCTGTGAGGCGAAGGCTAAGCTGACATGCTTCCCTGCAGCCGAAGAACAAGTGGGACGAGTCCATCTTCACGAAAGGCTGCATCCAGGCACTGGAGGGCTGGCTCCCGAGGAACATCTACATCGTGGCTGGCATCTTCATCGCCATCTCACTGCTGCAGGTTCGTCCCGGGCAGCCCCTCCTCCGCCCTCCTTTCACGCCAGAGTTGACCTTTCCACGGAACGCGCTTGTTCAGCTTGGGTGTCGTTGGCCTTCAGGCACCTGGTAGACCAACAAAGGGGTTCGGGTGGATGTCCCCGGCTGTGTGTGCATGAGTAGGTGTTGGGCTGCTCAGGGAGTTGACCGTGGATGTCAACTCCCTCTCCTGGGTCTGCTACCGGAAGGGGGGAGGCACTTCATGTCTGGGGGGGCGACCAGGAAGGTACCTTGGCCTTGTAGGTGCCC